AACTAACGAACAACGAATAACGAAACTAACGAACTAACGAACTAACTAACGAACGAAACGAACTAACTAACTAACGAACTAACTAAACTAACTAACTAACTAACTAACTAACTAACTAACTAACTAACTAACTAACTAACACCTAACACTAACTACTAACTAACTAACTAACTAACTAACGAACTAACTAACTAACTAACTAACTAACTAACTAACGAACTAACTAACTACTAACAACTAACTAACTAACAACTAACGAACTAACTAACTAACTAACTAACTAACTAACAACACTAACTAACTAACTAAAACAACTAACTAACTAACTAACTAACTAACTAACTAACCTAACTAACTAAACTAAAAAAATACTAACTAAACTACCTAACTAAATAACTACTAACTAACTGAAATAAACTTAGTATTAACTGCAAATACTTTGCACTACCACAATAACTATCAATGTATCTGCAACTTGCAACAGTCGCTTAGTGCAATTCTACATTCCTGTTCCCATCCGTGATTCAAGTGTAGTTGTATGTTATGTATGTATTATGTTAAGTGTCTCTGTTTGTTTAAAACTCTCATATGTAGGTTACTAACTGTAATTGATATTTCGAATGTTTCAATTTTTATTTTTGTTGATTTTATTGCATCTTTGGTTTTTTCATTTTATTTTAAGTAAACCACATATAGTTTGACCCAAATTCGATTTAATGATACTTGTCTGTCTGCAGATTATAGAACACTACTACTTTATATTACATTGCACTACAATTGCAGTTTACATACATACGCATGCGCAACTTGAAGTTTGAAATGAAAACGAGTGTGTTTGCACCAACACCTAACATACATAGATATTTAATACTATAAATATGTAATTAAAAAACAATATATTTATGTACATATAAAGGTTTTATGTAAATGTATGTCTATATAAGTTTACAGTTCTTTTTTCGTTAGACATCATTTGTAGGGTTTTGAATTTGGTTTAACCGTTATGTTTCTTTGTTGGTATTTGTTTTTTTTTTATATTTTTTGCTTCATTATTGTCTAAGAGCATGTGCAATAATCATTTAATTGATATTTGATGCTTTTGAATTTACCCAAATTGCGGTCTACGTGATCTTATATATCAAATAAGTACATATCTGTTCATATTTGTCTATACATACATATTTATGTAGATACGTTTATACTTTTAAAAAATGTATACATGTATCTTATGTTGAACAAAATATAAACAGATTACTTAACCAAAATTTTACTATATCATTTAATTATATTTTTTTTCTTTTTTTTCACGTTATGCCTTCGTTTTATTATTAACAATATAACTTTACAATTACTTTTACGAGTACAAATTATGAATGTATGTATCTGTATCTATGAGTTTGTTATTATTTTGTTATTGTTACAATTCTTTTATTATTCAAATACAATAAAGTATTTGTGGGTTGTGACCTTTGCGATCTATTAACACATTTTTCAGTTAAACCTAAACCAAAGGTTTGCTCAATTTTACATAATTAGTTTTTAATTAGTTTTGAATAGTAAAAAAATATTACTACATTTTTAATTTAATCAATAAAATATATTAAAATGACCTACTCTTAGATAACATACTAACTAAATACAAGGATCTTTCATTTGATTTTCAGAAAATTTAGCAAACTTATTTGTATAACGTTTAAGAAAGATCAAAAACCTTTTATATTTAAATTTTTCATTTCAACAAAATTTGCGAATAAATGCTGGTCTAGAGATTTTAATTATCCATGCAAAATTGCAAATTGTTAAATAATACGTATTCTTTACAAACAATTGTTTTAAAATCCGTGGGATTTTACTGTTTCTAAATGTTTAATGTTTTTTTTTTTTTTTTGTAAGCTGCCGATAAGTGAAAGTAACTGTCATGTTTTACTTATTCATAAAACTGGTAAATAGCACACCCTAATTTAATTATTCCATTTTGAATTAAAAATTTAAATATGTTCAATGATATGTATTTTTGTTTGGTTTTACACACATAAATTCGAACATAAATAATTGCTAAACTTGCTACTTAAACTATTTTACTTTTGATCAAACATTTCTTTATCGTTTGTACGACCTTGAACTCATAATTCTATACAGCGAGATATTGAATATATTTCGAGTACGACGTTTATACGGAGACAGTCGTATGTTTGTCTCAGTTTCAAGCGATAAAAAGTTCTTTAATAACTTAACAAAATTTTTTTAGCCCAGCTATAGTCTGGCAAAGATGCCCTCATATTGATCAGTCAATCAGACCATTAGTTCACAACAATAACAATTATTCTTATTTCCCTTTATATTTCTCTCCTCGAAAATATTTTCTTATAGGTATGACTTTCAGGATGATTGGCCCAAAACTTTATTAACCTTCTTTATTAACTTTATGAACCTTCTAAATTCGATTGGAGTGCCGTTTTATCATAAATATTGCAAAAGTTATGTGGAATATCTGATGAAGGTCATGGCACTATTCGATCTTATCTATACGCCCCTGACTTTCCGATATTTTCTCCAGCGAATGGTATTATGGAAAATTCAATATTCAGACCCTATCACTTGAGATTAATAAAGTATCAATTAGTCCTATTATGCCGTTAAGTCTAATTGGTCCACTGATCAAATATCACATAAAAACTAGGCAGAGACATTAACACAATTATTGAAATTATAGAGAATATATGGACGATTTTCGATATAATGCCTTTAATAGGACAATTGTGAAGCGAACTTTACAAAATTTTAAAGAATAATATATTTACTTTAGTAGGTATATGATCAAAACTATTAAGGCATAAAGTGCTTTAGGGCGGGTTTCTTATTACTCAGTTAAATGTGACTTAACTTGCTATTAGATTAAACTCGGAACAAATTTTGGTGGACTTTAACCAAAGATTGTGTTTTTAGCAATCAATTTAAGAACACTTAACTTTGTTAGTATTGCCAACTTTTCTATCAACAAGTAAGAGTGTTATATTCGGCTGTGCCGAATCTCATATACCCACCATCAAACCGTATGCCGTAAAAGGAATGCCCCCATATAAACATCAGGGTGATGTTTGGAATATAGCTTAAGACAATTATGGACCGAGCTCTTTTGAACTAACAAAATATTAATTTTTAATATTTTGTACTGTACTTGTAATTATCAGAGTTTTCTTCATCAAATTTTCTAAAGAGGATCTCATATGTGGTGTATGGTCAATTGTTGACCTATCCTCATAACTTTTTGTAGACTGATTTTGGTTCATATAAAACTTGTTTACATTCGCTGTTCTCGCATTTTTATGCCGGCAATTAGCGTTCATGTAATTTTATAAAGTGGCTTATATGGGGGGGTAGGGTGAATTACCGACACATTCCGCATGAAATTCGGAGCGAATTTCATAACCGTATTTCATAACTCATATTTTTAAGCCAGTAATGATCGTTTAAGAAATTTTCTAAAGGGGACCTTGTATGGGCGGTAGGGTAAATTATGGACCGATCCTCCCTAAATTTAATGGAGAGATTTTGGCACGCATTAAACTTATGTGCGTCAATTTTCGTCACTACATTAATATTTTTAAGCCAGTAATGAGCAGTATATTTATTTGCAGAGGGGGCCTTATATGGGGGAAGGGTCATTTATGGGCCGATCCAAAAAAAAAATGGTACTGAGATTTTGGCTCGTAAGAAACTTACGTGTGTAGCATTTCATCGCTTTACTCTTATTTTTAAGACAGTAATGAGCGTTAAAGCTATTTCCTGAAGTGGACCCAATAGGGGGAGAAGGGCCAATTATGGACCTATCCATATTAAAGTTATTAAAAAGATTTTGGCTCGCGAGGAACTTAATTGTGTAAAATTTTATTGCTATATTCGTATTTTTTAGCCAATAATGAGCGTTAAAGTCATTTTCAGAAGGGGACCTTATATGGGGGGTAGGGTCATTTATGGGCCGATCTTAAAAAAAAAATCGTAGAGCGATTTCGGTTCGTAAGAAACTTATTTATACCGAATTTCATCGCTATACTCGCATTTTTGGACCAGTAATGAGTGTTAAAGTAATTTTCTAAAGGGGACCTTATATGAGGGGTAGGGTCAATTATGGACCGATCCTCAAAAAATTTGGTAAAAAGATTTTGGCTCATATGGAACTTATTTATGTCGAATTTCATCGCTATACTTGTACTTCTGAAGCAGTTATGCCCGTTGAAGCTGTTTTTTGGAGGTCCACTTGTATGGGGGCTATCCGAAAAAGTGGACCGATATTGCCCATTTTCAATACCAAACAAACCTTAACAATAGAGAATATTTATGCAAAATTTCAACTGCCTAGCTCCTCTCGTGTGGTCCCTATCGTGATTTCAACAGACAGACGGACAGACGGACGGACGGACGGACGGACGGACAGACGGACAGACGGACGGACATGGCTAGATCGTCATAGAATTTAATAGGGACCCGGAATATATATACTTTTATGGGTCTATGAGCAATATTTCGATGTGTTACAAACGGAATGACAAAATCAATATACCCCCCATCTTTTTTGATGGTGGGTATAAAAATATAAACAATAAACAGCTGTTAATGTAACTGAAAAACAAACAAAAAAAGATTAAACTAGGTTTAATCTATGAAAGTAATGTATAATAGCAAATGGTTAAACTTCTCCAGACAATTAAATGAACTAAACGATTCGAAAGTCTACGCCTTATGAAATGAAAATATCGACAATTTTGTTATTGAAAATCTTAACAACTATTTATCCTTCCAAATAAATATCAAACCAAATTTAGAGTTGTAGTTTTTTTTTTGTTTTTTTTATTATTAATTTAGTTAAAATTATTATAATGATTTAAATATTTATTACACAGGTGTTATAACAGTTTTTTTTATTTTAATGGAGGATGTTTTTCATTTATTCCAAATTAATGTTTTTATTTAATAAAATCGTGAACTATGGGTTTTTTTTCTTCTTTTACGAATCGAATTTTTCTTTCATGTATTTTTTTTTAGTAAATTTTTCATTTTGTAAAGATGTTAAATTAAAAAATAGTAAATATATAATAATAGAGAGATTTTTTAATTAATTAAATAATTAATATTGTGATGTACCCAAAACACTATACATCAAACGGTTGAAGGATCCACTTTGACGAATGGTTTCATCGGTTGTGTTTACCACCTATGAAATAAAGAAAGAAAGAAGAAGAAATAATTTAGTCAGAGATTTCTTTGATGTATGATTGGAATATTTAATGACATTTGACATTAAATATTTTTTGCTGTTATTTTGAGTAGGAGGTATTATAAACATAATTTTGTTTAATTAAATTTCTTTTAATAAGTTTCGAAATAATGGCGTAGTTTTATACTTACATTGTACGACGGACCGGAAATGGGCGCTGATTGTTGTACTGGTTTCTATAGAATCGAAGAAATATAGAAATTAATATTTATTATTTATTTCAAATTAATATATGATAACATCATATGAATTGTTTTTTCTTTTGATTTAATGATACAAATAAATTGTTTAGTTTTACTTTTAAATAAATCAAATGCATTTAAATTAATTAATAATTTTTGAACAAAAATATGATGTATGTTTAGTTTTGTTTTATATATACACAATAATGAGTATTAGTTAATGTATGATTAATGTTAATTGTTAATCATTTTCAAAAGGCTTTTTCAATGGCTACACATTAAGCTATACTTGGGTTAATAAAGATTCAACTTAAATACATAATTAATTAAATTTTTACAATTACAAGGTACAATATTAATACATATTTTAACCAAATTAGTATTAACAACTACTGTTCCTAAAATGCGGGCAATTTTTTACTACAAAACAAATTTTAAACAAAAAAAAGTACACAATTTACAATAATTTACAGCTGAGGCATTTAAATAAGAAAACAAAAAAGTAAGAGAGAGAGATACATAGAAAGAAAAAATGATTGAACAAACAGTGATTGACAGGACATAATCGAACTGACATATTTTTTTGAGCTGACGTAACGATAAGTGATTGATATTGATTTGATATGACGAGAGAGAGAGAGAGCGAACGAGCGAGAATAGTGTGTATGTGTAAGAAGAGGCAGTGATATTTACTGCTGGTGGTCACTCACTAACTTCTCTGATCTTACCTTTCCTGGAACCATTCTATTGGGATGGAAAACCTTTGGTTGCACTGGTACTGTTACTTCTTCAGTGAAAGCAGCATTGCCATAACCCTCCTCTTGAATGGCTCTATAGGTTTCACTCCTGGATGGATCATAGACAACTGTTTTCTTGTAACTGTCATCGTAAAGTGACGTAATGTGTTTTGGTTTGTTGTTGTTATAGTTGTTTAATAAATTATTAAGTGCAGCGTGTTATAGTTGTTCATTAGACATCATCAAATTCATTCGGTTTTCATCATTGATTTTGAACCATTTTTTTATAATATTTTGAGATTTTGGTTTTATTTTATTATAGATTTTGTTTATATTTATATTTTATTTTTTTGGACGAGTAGAGATTTATTTTTATTTTAGAGCGTAGAGTGAGAAGAGAGAAAAAACAGGATGTGCACAAAATAAGTTAGAATTAGTTTTAAAAAAAATGTTTTTGGTAAATTTGCAAAACAACTCAAATGACAGTTTAAATGACAATTTCCAATTCAATCTTAATTTAAAGAATTAATTTCATTAAGAAAGGTGTTAGAACTACTACATTAGCGATAAATAAAAAAAGAAAAGTTTCTAGCTAAACATTAGTGGACAAGCGTGACAGATAATTTTAGACATTTTTATTGAAAGAAAAGGAAATAATTTTGAGTTTTAAGATTTTCTAGTACAAATTTTTGTTAGCCACATAAGCGTTTCATTATTATTATTTTTTTTTTTGCTTTTAAGTATCATCATTAGCTTAGGGAAAACGGATATTTGGTTGGGAGTATCTTGGTGGGAATAATTGTGTATCAATAGGGTAATTATAGGGTTTAGAATAGTGTTGGGTTTGGAATAAATTTCTTCTAGTATTATTTTCAAAGATTTTTTGTAAAATCAAATTGAAAAGTTGGGTTTTTTGCTCTAGTTTTTTATTATTCTCAATGATGATATAGTTGTTCCAGCTGTTTTTGTCGCTGTTCACGTTGTTGTTGTTCTTGTAGTTCTTTCTGTTTTTGTTGCTCCAGTATTTTATATTTTTGTTCCAGGAAAGATAGATCGATGAAAATTCTAATATTAATCGTGCAGCTAATTCTTCTTAACACTACTTGTCTTTAAAACTAACTTTTATTTGTTTTAATATAGATATAGTTACGTTTTTAAAACGTATTTGTTTTATCGTTTTATTGGGAATGTTTAAAAATTGTTTTTTATTGTAATAAATTTTGTTTATTGGGTTGCAGTGTTAATTTCCAGTAACAAAAAAAAAACAGAGTTGATTTTAAAAACAAAATCAACCACCAAAATAAAACGGAAGTATGCTCTTTTTTGCCAGAACGTGAAGATAACAACAGAGTTTCAATGTGTTTCTTTTATTAAATTTGAAACAAATGGAATTGAAATTATTCATTTTTTGTTATTTATCTTCACATAAAAATTAAAAAATCATATAGCATTTGAATATAAAAATTCATTTTATTTACACCAAAATAAAAACTAGATGTTTTTTGTAAAACAAGGGAAATTATTTAATAAATCACTTTAACACACTTTACTTTATTTTTCTTAAAAAATGTATTTTATTTTTTACAAAAGTTGTATTATGAAGTGTTTTAAAAAATAATAACCCTATTTTAGGTATCTTTAAATTAAAATATTTTGCCAATTTCATTGGGTTTCAAAATAAATAAAAATTTGAATTTTTTCATATTCATTTTTGAAAAAATTTCTGATTTGTTTGGGAAAACCAAAGAAAATTTTATATTTTTATAAATAAAAGTAATAAAGTCTAAAAATACTAGTTTTTAATTGGTGTAGGTTTCATATCAAAAAATATCATGTTTCGATTTCAAATGCTGTCTAGATAAAGAGCATATTTTTAATTAATATTTTAAAAAGTTAAAAAGTTTGTTTTTTTAATAAGTGTTAATAAAATATTAAAAATCATATTAATATTATTAAAAAAATATTAAATTTAAATAAAAACTAATATTTAATTGACAAAAACATAAAACTGGTTTTCAAAAATACAAAATCCGTAACGCTGTGTAGTTAAAGTTTCTTAAAAAAAAGAACACAAGAAAACTACAAATTTGTCGATAAAAAGGAATTTTTAACAAAAATTGTTAAAAAAAAAAATACTACAGACAACAAAAAACATAAAATTATTTAAAATAAATAAAACAAAAACTACTGGGAACACAACATATAATTTGTTTACAATAGAAAGATTTGAAAAATAACTACTTTTCAAATCAATTTACTCAAAATATCAGTGTAAACAAAGAAATATATGTTTGGATTAAAGGTATACATCAAAATTGTGTAGAATTTTTGTGTAATTAATTGTATTTTACGGGAAAAGTTACAAAAGCAAGCAATAGTTAACAAATACAGATTTACTAAATGGGATAGTATTGAATTTTTCTAGAGTTTACAAAGAAATCTAAATACCAACTACTAAATTTAGAACATATCTAAGATATGATATAATAATGATCAGCAGGATCAACAAATTTCTAATTTTAAAATGATTTGTGAAGAAAAAAAAAAAGAAATACTTAAATAGATTTGTTTTATAACTCATTTTTACCGGTCAAGTTTTGTTGGCAAAGGACGATGCAAAGCACTCTTCCATATTGCATTATTGACACTACAACAAATAATATAGAGTCGACAAAAAATATATATGTATATCACATCAATTTATATATAAAACACATTTGGTTTAATTGTTTTTGAATTATTTTGTTTGTTTTAAAAGGGTTTACGGTTGAACGTGCATTTATATAGAAAGAACACAGCATATCTCACAATATTTATATTAAAAAACGTTGATATCGTTGGAATTTCCAAAAAAAAAGTAAATAAATAGATTATTCATATTAAAAGATTAGTACAAATTACATAGATTTTCTTATAAATTTGTTTATTTGGCAGTGTAGCTTGTGGTTTAAGTGTAGCCTTTGCTAATTTTGTTTAGAAACCTAATTTGCTGTTAATTCAAAATTTAGTATAATTTGTTTGTATTTTAGTGTAAATCTTCAACGGTTTTGTATTAATTTAAGCGCAAATGCTTAATCTCAGTTTAAGCAATTTGTTTTATTTTTCTTTCAAACGTTTTAAATTAAACGGAGCTTTTTATTCTGGTATAATTCATATTAGTATATATATATTTTTAAGGGGTTTTATGATAAAAATCAAGATACTTACGGAACTGTTTGGCGGATGGTGCTTTCAATGTTGTTATCAGAGTACAAGCCAATGGGAGAGTTGAATTGTTTGTGGAAAACCTTAAAATTTAGAAAAATATAACAAATATTTGCAAATATTTTCAAATTTCTGTTAAAAACTTACTTTGCCAGAATCAGCATCTTGACCAACAACTCTGTGCAACATGGTGTCGGCAACACGTTGCTTCATTACACTATCATGGAAATCATGATGGGGATGGGCACGTACAGCTGGGTTAGGGTAGTGTCTCAAATAGGATTCTGTGGTGGGAGCATCTTTTTTCACTTTAGCACCGGGCAAAACCAGTGGAGTTGTTCGGTAGGGCTAAAAATATTTCAATTAAAAGTAATCAAATTAATGTAACTATTTTTTGCGATTACGTCTATATATTTTGTTCAATTTTAAATTGTTTATTATTTTTTAAATTGTTTTGTTGTTGTTTATATTTTATGAGTTATTTTTATATAAATATCTGTTTATATGTTTGAGTCTGCAATGTGTGCGAAATGTGAGTCTTATATACTAATCAATATATTAAACGTATGGCCCCTATTTCTACTACTCATCTACATCTATATAGATATTTAAATATAAAAATAAATTTCTCGCAGAATACGTCCAGAATCATGAAAAATCGAGAACATTTGGTAGAAGAAAATGGAAAATATTCATATACAAACGATAATATGTAGATTTTCAAAAAAATTAAAGAAACAAACAAATTTATAGGCGAAATATTTTACTGTCTGTTTATATTGTTGGTTATTTTCAAAAAAAAAAAAAAAATGCTCCTCCTTTACTCTCTCATTGGTGGTGTTGGTTGGTGGCTTGATTATTTAAAATTGTATGTATTTGTTGTTTATACTCAGTTCTATATATTCTTATATTTTTAAAATATTACGTAAGAAATTATAGCCAGCATTTAACAAATACATTCCGATGGAATCATTTTGTTAATTTTATGTTCAAAATATATAAATTTTTTTATCTAATTGGTATTAATTTCATTTTGGAATTGAATGTCAAAGTGTAATAACGTTCAGAGGTAAATAATGCATTAAATGCTTTGTTACGAAAAGTAAATGTAATAAATTTGCAATGTTTTGCTAATAATTAATTCAAAATTTTTACTTCTAAATATTTTGTCTGAAAATTTCCAAAATTAGTTTACTATATTCTGTTAACTGTTTATTTATGCTGTTAGCTTTACACTTATTAATATAATACAACTCTGTGTTAAGGCAGAAATTGTAACGTCACTAACCAGCTGACGTTTTGTTTACCGCGCTTTTACTACCTGCATGTTGCTGATGCACCAAATAAGAATAATTAAAAGAAAAGAAAGAAGAAAAAACTAGTTCTTTGTTTGAAAAATTGTTAAGTTGCGATAAAATTTTTTAAAATTAAATTAATAAAGTTTTTTTATGTAAATTTCATATATTTTGTAATTAAATGGCAGCAGTAAGAAGATCAACACGTTTGAGCAGTATAGGTAAATCAACACCTACACTTCCTGCCACGCCAAAGACTCCGAAACAGGCCAGCTTGTGGCAGCACCGAAATTCTAGGAATTCGGTCACCATACACAGTGACGAGGAGGAAGAAGAAGAACGTTCCTCTAATTGTAGTAACGAAGAAAATTGTGATTTAATAAATAAAATGGAGCAACGTAAGAGAGCCTCCGCTAGAAGCAAGAAAACGGTAGAAGCTGAAGAAATCCAGACACCAAAGAGTAAAAAAAACACCAAACCTATGCCAGCTTCTAAAAAAAGAGAATTATTAAAAAGACTGCAAACGGAGGAAGATGTTACAGCAGATGAAGAAGATTCACAAAAGGGTTCGCCTCCCAAACAAGTTAGACAACAGCCTAGCGCTGTGCCCCAACATGTTATAAGCCCTTCACGTCTATTAGATCGTCTAAGTATAGATGAAAAACCTGAAGAAGTGGCAAGTCCCCAGAAAATACAAATTTCTCCCAAAAAGGAAAAAATCAAGGAAACTGCCCCTAAAACTACTCCGGTACGTAATAAATATCAAAATGCCCGTCGTGTGTTAAACAGTGCTGAATGTCAAAATCTACCAGGACGTGAAGAACAATTAGAGGAATTGCGTTCATTCTTAAGAGAGCACTTAGAAGCTAAAAAGTCTGGCAGTTTATATGTTTCCGGACAGCCGGGTACTGGCAAAACAGCCTGTTTATCTCTTTTATTAAGAACACCCGAATTCAACAAACGTTTACAGACCGTCTATGTTAATTGTACTTCAATCGCCTCTATAGGAGGAGTCTACAAAAAACTTTGTGCTCAATTGAATCTAAAACCTCAGGGTCGTACGGAGCGTGATCATTTACAGGCTTTACAGCATCATATTAAGACTAGTCCTAAAATGCTGTTAATAGTTCTTGATGAGATTGATCAATTGTGCAGCTCCAAACAATCGGTTTTGTACACTATTTTTGAATGGCCTTCTATGCCCGATGCTAGCATACTTTTGGTGGGTATAGCCAATAGTTTGGATTTAACTGAACGTACACTGCTGCGTTTGAATGCTCGTTGTGAGTTAAAGCCCAAACATATGCACTTTCCCCCATATTCCAAACAACAAATTGTGGACATTTTTAAATCCCGCTTGGCGGAGGCGGAAGTATTGGATATTTTTCCTCCAGTCACTTTAAATTTATTAGCTGCTAAAGTTAGCGCTGTTAGTGGTGACGTAAGAAGAGCTTTGGACATTGGACGACGTGTAGTTGAAATTGCTGAACAACAAAAGAAAGCTGGAGAAAAAGAAATCAACTTAAAGAATCTTAATTTACCAGAAGGGGAAAATCCACAACCAACTAATGAAGGTGAGTGTTTTTTATTGTTAATAATTAACTTCCATTTCTAAAATCCGATATTTTACAGAAATTCTCAAACCCGTACAAGTTACCCAAGTAGCGGCCGTACTTAATAAAGTTTATGGGGCTTCTCAAAATCTACAAGAAGACATGGATGAAGCCTTTCCATTGCAGCAGAAAATAATGTTGTGTTCATTAATGTTAATGCTGCGTAATGAAAAGAATAAAGACATCTCTATGGGTCGTTTACATGAAGTCTATAGACGGGTCTGTAACAAACGTAACATACATCCGGTAGATCAAGCAGAATTTGCCAGTCTAGTGGATTTAGTACAGACTAGAGGCATTTTGCGTATTGTTAAGAAAAAAGAACCACGTCTTAGTAAAGTCCAGCTGCAATGGGATGAGGAAGAAGTTAATGGTGCTCTTAGTGACAAACAATTAATAGCTTCTATACTAGATGACACCGCCTGTTTGGGCAAATAATTTTATTTATAATTGCCATTTTTTAAAACTTTTAGACAAAAATACTACAAACGAATTTTTTAAAAAGGAAGTAATTTTCATATGATTTTTTCTCTACCTTATTTTCGTATCTATTTTTAAATTTAATTTAGTTTATTTTTTTTTTAATTAGTAATTTTATAGAATTCACCTGACATTTTTCTTAACATTAACCATTTCATCTGTTTACTTTTCATTGATACACAACCAACAATACAAAAAGAAAGAAATGTATTTTTATACTAATGAAAAATTAAGTTATTTTTAATTTTTCTAATCTTTTTCATTTAACAAACAACCTTGATCCAAAAGAAGAGTCACTAATACAAAAATAAAGTGATATTTTGGTTGTTTTTATTTTATAACATATAATATCTTGTTTTTAATTTATTTAATATCAGTTTTTATCTTCCTATTTTATTTAGTTTTTTTCTCTTTTGAAAATCAAATAGAATAGAAATGTAAATCAAAAAAAAAAAAAAAAAAAAAAAAAAAAAAATTATACACAAAGCGTCATAGGTAATTAAATAAAATGCAAAGCAAATTTATCTTTCATTAAAATGTTTCTTTTTATAAATAAATAACAAAAATTTTAAATTTATTTGCGTTGCATTTTTAAGTTATTTTTATGATACCACTGTATTTATAAATAGTGATGTTTTTTCAATAATAAATTGTTGGTTGTTAAATAAAACTTTTTAATGCATATAATTTTTAATGATTTTTTGAAAATGAAATTTAATTTTTATGTTTTTCTTCTCTTTTATAATTACAGGTTTATTTAATTTTAAGCTACAATAAGAAAACAAAAGTGAAATTATTTCAAGAACTTTTACAAAATAAGCAAAATAATTGATGTTATATGACAAATTTAAAAATTTCACCTCAAGAATTCCATAATAAGTCTCAATATTGCTAGAAAATCTCATCTATAGAAATTTCATAACTTTCAAATCAAGATTCAAGATTAAACCTCAAGAATTCCATATCCATCAAGACTTTTAAATCAAGATTCAACAATAACCCTCAAGAATTCCATATCATTAAAGAAGCAAAATTGTTAGAAAATCTCATCTTTAGAAATTTCATCATTACAAGTTTAACTCTCAAGAATTCCATATCATTCAAGCAGCAAAATTGTTAGAAAATCTCATCTTTCATCATAGCAAGATTCCAAGAATTCCACCTCAAGTCTCTAGCAAATATAAACTTTACAAATCATTAACCAAAATCATCTTTAAGATGTGGAAAATTACTTCATTTTCGTATCAAGATTCAAGTACATCTATTCAAAACGATTCAAGATTTCAAGAAAATGAATGTAAGTAAGTAAACAAGTTTTTTTATATTTTTTACAATATTATATTTAACAAAAAAATTACACAGTTTTCGAACTAAAAATTTTAAATCTCGACATCATTTAGTGTTAGGATTGTTAAAAAGAGATTCTTCGAGTCTCACTAACAACAAAATTTGAAAAAAGTCAAAACCCAGATAACACTACATGATATCTCTGATTAATAAATTATGACGCCAGATTCGAAATCAGCGCCACTCAATCTTTAAGAAAAGAATGCTTTGGTCTCTGGGTTAAAAATTTGTTGACTTATGTAATTATTTCCTCCGTTAGGTTAGTGGTTAGTTAGTTTTTAGTTTTGCTGGGTGCTAGTAGCTGTTTACTCTAAAGTTCTGTCAGAAAATTCCAAATTTTTATCAAAATTTAAATTTTTTTTCAAGTTAAATATTGAGCAGATATACATATATACTGATTTTGTTTGGATGTTAGCTCGTGAATGAGCCGAGTGGAACGATTATTTTAGCCTTAGGAAATCGTTAGGACAACATAATCAAATTGGCTTTCTTAAAAGAACTTTTCAAACAAAAAGATTTTTCGAAATGTTTAAAATTTCGAAAAAATTTAAACGAATTTAATGTTTTTATTAAAGGTCATTCAACTAAACATTTTTATAAAAATCTAAAAGGTTCTAATAGGTTCGTTGTTAATAAACTAAACTCTGCATAGTTCATAATTGAAGAAATCTTTCCTATAAATCAAAGGTTTGAACAGTTCAAACTTTGTTTGAATCTTAATCATACAAAACTTTTGAACATTCATGAAGAAAAGTAAAATTCATTATCTCATAATTTTTTATATCTATAATGTTTTTGTTTAAATATTTAACCTTGTAGAAGGAGAAAAATTAAAAATATTTTATATAATTAAATTATTTCTAAATTAATTTATGATTAAATTAAATTAGCATTTCACCAAAAACCCTTTTGTTTTTCTCGCTATGGATTTTCTTTATTATAAGACATGTGCCTGTATGAGTATTTTTATTATAATTAGCTAAATATGTTTGATATTAAAACGACAAATGTTTCAAATCTTTTGTCAGATGTTAATCATCATCATTCTTAACGCCTCAATTCAGCCATATTAAACACATATACATATATTATACAAATTCACACCCATTGTTATAGAAAAAAATCGAAAATAAAATACTTATTTGTTTATTGTGCTTAATTTGTTTGTTCTAAATTTTCCTTCTTGGCTATTTTGATGAAAAACCAAACAACAACAACAATAATAATAAATAGAATTTAATCGGGAATAAAATTAATTTGCTTGCTTTAAGAAAAGGCTCTTTTTTTGACGTAGAGAACAACATATTTTTGCCAAAATATATATATTTTTTGTACGCTTTTCCATTTGTTATATTATTTATTTGTATAAATCTAAAAATAAAGTATACATTACAGTATAGAAAAGCTATGAAAACGAAGGCAATTTTTTTTTAATGAAAAACAACAATATTTTATTGAGTGATAGAGGAGGAGGGGGATAGTGGTTGTGGACGACAATCATTTAACGTATTTGTTAAATACGAGTGTGTGTATTTGACAAGTGAAAAATTTTAAAAAATAAATGTTATTTCTAGATAAATTTGCAATATTTATGGAATGTTGAAAATATTGCTAAAATGTTATCATTAAGAATTTTAAAATTTTTCAAGAAATTAAAAATGTTTGAAATTTTTTGCAATTTATTAAAAAAAAATATTAGAAATTTTGCAACATATATTAAAAACAATATTATCAAATAATGAAATAGAGTTATTTAAACTCTAAATAAAAAAACGTTAACGATTTTTGTGAATTTGGTAAAAAAAAACTTTTTTACAAATTTTAATTTTTTTAAATTTGAAAACAATTTCAATATTTAAAAATTACAACAAATTAAAGTAAAAGCCTTAAGTAGTTTATATGTTTCCTATTTATCAAATAAAATTCAAAAAATTCAATTAAAAAGCATTTAAAAATTCTGCTTACTTGATATTGAATACATTCGTTGAGGTCTGGTTGTTCCCTGTAGTAGTGTGGTGAACCGTTTTTGAATTGTACGTACTCCATTTTTATGTTTGTTTTGTTTGTGTTTTGTGTGTTTAATAAAAATGTGATTTAAAAACTCCTTTTATATTAGAAACAAAATAAAAAAAAAAAAAATAGACAAAAATTCAACAATTAAAAACAAAATTTCCAAAAATTATTTCAAATTTAAAAATAAACTAAAACAAAACAGTTAAAAATAACTATTACGTAAGTAATAACTATGAATTTCAAAAGTTTTCAAAGTTCTTTTCGTTTTTTAATATTTTTCTTTTCTTTTTTTAAATTTAAAGTCTTTTTAAAATACACTTCAAAAGTTCACTTTAATTATAAATTTAGTGTAATAAAAAAAAGTTAAAACTTGCTTTTTTTGTTTATATTTTAAATCGTTTGTTTTTCGTTTCTTTACACTTTTAGTTTATAATACGTTCTTATAGTTTTTCTAAATCGTTTCAATTGTCTGGAGATCGTTTGGTAATCGTTTTGAAATTTTTCACTTCAATAATTTTTTTTTCAATATTTTTCTTTTGTTTTGTTAACTACCTAGTATTCTATAATGCGAACTTAATTTTACAATATTCCGAAAGCAACTGATTTGAAAATTTTTCAAAATTTGATGATGAAAAGAAAATTTTGTTTTTAATAAAAAAAATATATAAAATTATATTTGTATATAAGTCCCCCCTCCCCCCACACACATACACTAACAAAACAGCAACAATGAACATACAACAGCAACTCATACATTGGCAATTAAGCAGGAGTATATAAACAATAAATATTTTTCATTAATTTTTCCTCCACGGCTAACACCACCCCCAACCCTTTTACTCCTCCATAGAAAATTGTTCTAACACACTTTAAAAGCTGTATGGGACGTAAACATTTTTCCTCCTCCATGTTTTTGTACATAAAGAAATTCAGCAATATTTTAGTAAATATTTATTCAAAATTTTTATGTGTGTATTTGTTTTTTTTTTTTTTTTTCAAATAATATACCACCATAAAGTCAAATAGGAAAATGTTGTTATTGTAGTTTTTTTTTGCAGAAATAAAATGTTGTTTTTCGTTCTAGATTTTTAATATTTTTTCTCAATGTTTTGTATAGTAAAATATATTTTATTTTTCATTTTAATTATTTTTTTTTGCTTCGTTTTTTCTTCTCTGTTCAACATAAACTTGGACTTGTATACATTTGGTGCGCCTACACATTTGCCATTAAAATATTTGGGCCAATTCCATCTCCCCACAATGTAAATTCTGTTTCAAATCTACCCCTTCCTGCCTGTCTGCGCCTCGTTTGCCCTCGTTGAGTTGAAATGTTTATTATTGTTTTTATTATTTAAAAATTTATTTTATAAATTACACTTCTCTAAAGGTAAATTATTTTAATTTGTTAATAAGTGTACATATGTAAATATTTGCATATGTATACTTAAATTTAAGTACAAACAAATGTTGTTTGTATATTTTAGTGTTAAACTATTTCCTTAATTTTTTAGTATTGAAATGAAACGATTTCCAATATATGCAAACATATTGGAAATCGTTTCATTTGTAACATATTGGTATCCCAAGGAAATTAAATTCCTACGATTATGTTTGTCAATTGTTTTATTGCAAACAACAATCTTTGGAGAACAGTTAAAACTTTCTCCCCTATAATTTTTCGTTTTTTATGTATTTTTTCAAATTATTACAGGGCATACAAATTTCGACCTGGCCGAACATTCTAACCTAATATTTACCTAATTTAATGACCTTTTAGACTGACGGCGAAGAATTTTCGTCTCTGTTTTATTGTTTTCAATAAAATTTGTAATTATCTACACGATTTCTTTTTTTTTAGCTTGTAAATGACCTCGAAGGTTCATGATATTGAAGTTTAAGTTCATTAAAAATTTATGTAAATATTTTTTATCTAAACGGAAATTAATGTTATACAATATTTATTTGTTTCTGTTTAATGTATATTTTTCTTTAGTTTTTCCTATTTGGTTTTCTACGATATCGCCAACAACATCTTTATTTGTGAACTATATATTGAATAACAATCGAAAGAGTCTCACGATTTTACATTAGACCAAATATTGGGTTTGACATCGCAGACAATACTGTAGACTAGACTATAGACTAGACTATATACTAGACTATATACTAGACTATAGACTAGACTATAGACTAGACTATAACTAGAATATAAACTAGACTATAGACTAGACTATAAACTAGACTATAAACTAGACTATAGACTAGACTATAGACTAGACTAGACTATAGACTAGACTATAGACTAGACTATAGACTAGACTATAGACTAGACTATAGACTAAACTATAGACTAGACTAGACTAGACTAGACTACAGTCTAGACTATAGACTAGACTATAGACTAAACTATAAACTAGACTATAGACTAAACTATAAACTAAACTATAAACTAGACTATAGACTAGACTATAGACTAGACTATAGACTAGACTATAGACTAGACTTTAGACTAGACTATAGACTAGACTTTAGACTAGACTATAGACTAGACTATAGACTAGACTATAGACTAGAGTCTATAGTCTAGTCTATAGACTAGACTACAGTCTAGACTATACATTAGACTATACATTAGACTATACATTAGACTATACATTAGACTATACATTAGACTATACATTAGACTATACATTAGACTATACAATAGACTAGACTATAGACTAGACTATACACTAGACTGTAGACTAGACTATACACTAGACTATAAATTAGGCTATAGACTAGACTACAGACTAGACTATAGACTAGACTAGACAATAGACTAGACTATAGACTATACTATACACTAGGCTATAGACTAGACTACAGACTATACACTAGACTAGACTACACTAGAATATAGAATAGACTATAGAATAGACAATAGATTAGACTATAGACTAGAAAAGTTTTTCAAAAATGTTAAAATATGTAAAACAATTTTCGAACATGCATAGCTAAAATAATCGAAAAGTTTTTAAGAATCCTTAATAGTTTTTCTTCTTTTTACTGATTCAAAATTAAACATGATTTTAGCATTGAATAATTTGTTAGCAGTACAGAAAATCAATTAAATCAAAACCATTTTGAGTTAAATATAAATAAAACATTATTTCCAAAATACTACTCAACATAAAATTAGTTATCCACAACTAAAATTATACAATTTCTAACAAAAAATAATATTATAAAAGCAAATTGTCCATACAAATTAAATATAAATCTTTTTTAAAAGTGGCCAAGGCAACAAACAAATTTTTCTAACAAGTTGACAACAGCTGTAACTGTTGTAATTCGAAAAATGAAAATTTATTTAAATTTGTCCCCATTTTAAAGGAAAAAACATAAATTGATTGATATTCAAAGCATCTGTAATTGAAATACTCAATCATTTTCACTATTTATTTATTAATTAAAACCTGAAGAAAGATCACTTTTTACACTCTTTACAATTTTAGGCTAAAAATAAAATAAAAACATAAAATTTAATGGCAACCTTGATAATATTTTTTCAAAATCTTTTCACTGAAAGTCACATAGAAATTTGAATATACATACATATAATGCCCTTGAAATTAAAAACAGTTTCATCATTTACATTGAAAATTTAAAAAAAATTCTTCTTCATTATGATGATTTTAAACGAAAGTTTTATGAAAAATTTGTATTTGTTGTTTGTTTAACAATTGTTGTACATTGTTCATCTCGAGTACATTTACTATTGAAAATTAAAAAAAAAAACGTGCCTTTTTGAAAAATAAGTCTTATTTTTCAAATATTTTCTTACAAATACCCAAATGCTCATAATGTGGTTTTTGGGAAGGGGGAACTGTGATGATGATGATGAGTTAGTGGACTTGTCTCTTGACTTTGATGTCACCATCGCTAAATACAAAACATACGTCTTTGTTTAATTCTAGTCACCTATTGTTTGTGCGTCATTTATGTATTTATTTATTTTTTTGTGTTAAATACATATGTACATATCTTGCATATTTTTCATTTTCTAATGCTACACATTATGATGATACATCTTTATTTTTATTTTTTAACATTTACAAAAATAAACATAATACAAATGCACATCCATAGGCCGAATTTTTGATAGACGCTATTTATAATTGCTTTAAGAAAGTGGAACAACAAATAAAAATATTCCATACAAGATAATTCTATTTAATTTAGTTAAAAATATAGTTTCATTTTAAGTTTTTATTTAACTAACTATGCTGGCCATAGGGTATTCTCTATACCATTAGGGAAATAAAGCATGAAATAATGAAGCCCTTGACCATCTGTATTTAAATTTGGTTCGCATTTGTTTTATTAATTACATTATTTTATTTTAAATTTTGTCTTTTTTGTGAAAAGTTCAATGAATTTTATAAAAAATAAAAGTATATTTTTAAATTTTCATTGAAATCATCTCTTGTGATTTGTTGCTTCAAATATATATTTAATTTTTTATATCAAAACAACAAAACAAATTAAGAAAACGTTATAAATTACAAGCAAATATTAAGTAGGCCACAGTGGGACCAGGTCGTTAAAAAATGGCACTAAAAATTTACATATGGAAAACAGTTTATTTATGTTAACTTCAAAATTTTATAGTTTTCAAGAATAATACAAAACAAAAAAAAAATTCCCAAGATGTTTCTTGTTGTGGCAAAAGAAGCCAATCATTTCCGATATCAGATTCGATAAAAACAGAAATATGTATTACGGAATGTCTAAAAAGGGGATTTTACCTATCTTTAAACATCTCACAGTGTTTTCATATTTCTGGACCGATTTGGCATCTTGCCACTATGGAAAATACGCTCTAATCACTGTTTAGAATCTTGCTAAGTTCGTTCATAGGTGTTCTAAATTTCGGTCCTCTGTGTTTCTAACACGCAGTGGCAATTTTTTGTACATGGTTCTGCCGTTCCATGTACAAGCACTTTGCTCAAGTACTCGAGCTATCTAATCTCTGACTATTGATGGCCGTTGCATAACTCCTGAGATGCAAAAACATCACTTCCGTTTACAACCACGCTTGTCCTCCCAGTCAAGGAACATAATGTCATGCTGACTAAACAGTTCCTCCTGAGATGTCTCCCCAACTTTAGGAGTCATCCCAACTTTAACATCACACAGTTGGATGCTCCCCCGAGGCATGCCAGGAAGGCCCTTCGTGTATACGAAGAGAGCATACGAAGTTATGTTCAGGATCCCTTAGATCGGAATTCGTATACAGCAGCTTTGAACGACATTTATAGAGACGCCATCAATACCGCGGTTTCAGGTTACCGCATGAATGTCGTTCTTGGAGGTCGCCCACCGCCCATAGCAGAAATAGAGAAGAACCTGCCGCGAAAAACAAGAGTTGCTCTGGCACAACTGAGATCGGGATGGAGCAATAGGCTCAACGCCTACTGGTCCCGCATAGACCGTGCCGTTCCCAATATATGCCCAGCTTGTGGACAGGGTCCTCATGATATCCACCACATATTTAACAGTCCAGACAACCCTACTTCACTTAGCCCAATGGATTTATGGACTAACCCTATTGAAGTAGCCCAATTTCTTGGCTTAGACCTAAATACAGAACCCCCGGATTAAAAATTGTTTGGTTTAAGCTGTTACAACAACAACCACGCTGATGGGATGGCCTC